GTCTATTGGATAACAGGAAAACCTTCAAAAAATTTATTCAAGACGTGTATTCCTTTAATTGTTATACATTAAACTCACAATTAGTAGATTCGGTTTATGTGATAACCCCTAACTCGACCTTGATTATTCTGGATATCACATAAACCTCATCCAGTAATATTTTATAAGTCTGTTTTTGCATAAAACTCCAAGCTGATATAGAAGCACGATGTCAAGACCAAGATAGGGCAGAAAAAAACTGAAAGCCCCAGATCTACAGGAACACGCAAAACTAAAAGTCTTTTTCACAGACAAAGATAGGCGTAAAACGTCCAATTCAGAGACAAAACTAAACGCGGAAATCTGAAGATCACTGGTAAAAACGCCCAAGGCTGTGGGTCACACACAAAGATAGACACATGTCGCTGCTAATCAGAAGCTAAGACAGCCGTGCGAAATTGATAGTCACAAACAAAATGAACACAAGCAAGAAAAACCACAGACGAAGATCAGCGCACATGAAACTGAAAGTCATCGAGGACTGCTTTCTAAAGCGTATTTTTTTACACTGAACATTAAAATTATCCCTTCATTGTTACAGTATTAAACGTAATATGTATGACGCAAGACAAACAATGCTTAAACTTACTGTTTCAAGAGTTCCTTGCCCCTTCTAAGTACGATATAGTCCAAAGATGAATCGTTTACTTGATCGCTGCGAGAGGAAAAAAAAAATAAGTATGTCAGTTTACGGCAGAAAGTTTGTCCGGGAGGGTGGTGGTGGTGACATTCTCCGAAACTGGGGAGGGGTACGTGGCCCGCTTCTTAAAAAAAAATAATAATAATAAATCAAGTCTCTCAAATTAGCGATGTTTTTTTTTATATTGCACCAAGATCGCCCTTCTCAAACGATGAGTAACAACGATAAGGTAAGTTTCTTATGAGAATCATGCCTAATTGTTGACTAAAGTCCAAAAACCATCGCTATACCAGACCAAAATGGCCAAAATCTGTTTAATTTTAGACCAAAATGGCTCAAAAAACATGTCGTTTGAGGCAACACTTACCCACACCGCTCATAAAAGGGAGTACTCCCTGAATATCTCAGGGAGGAGGTTCAATAAAGTGTGTACGTATGAAAAATAATAAGCGATCAATAGGCGAGGGTATTTTATTTAGTTTATGTACATATTTAGTATATTTAATATTGCAATGCGCTTTTGATCATTACATGTTAAAAAGCGCAATATAAATTAATAAATTATACAAATTATACTATTATATTTACTATTAGAGGGAGCCTGAATCAAATCAAACATGTACTCACCACTAATTTCCTTTAGGAATGTGGGAGAAAAAAAAACTCTAAAAACCTGGTACAGCTTGTCAGATCACAACAAGTACTTCAAGGAGTTTGTCTACAAGATAACAGAAGAATCATCACAGCCTTGTTTGTATATTTTATTCCATGCCTTAACTAACACCAAGATATGGATAGCCTTCTACTAAGAAAGGAATTCAAATCCCTCCTTTTTACATTATTACTTTAGAGAGTCAAAGATGAATTTTCCGTTCAACGCCCACCCATCAGAATCGACGTATTGAAGCTAAGTTAAACTTACTGTACTTACCATTCGTTGAGATATTCAAATCAGAAAGAAATTCAAATTTCTAGCCTCTAGCAGCTAAAACGGAGGCACCTTCAAAATAACAATGACACGCAAGCTATCAGACTTTCGAGCCATGGCCCCGCATACGCTTTCAGTTTCGACTGGCCACGGAGTGCTTTTTATTTATACACGTAATACAAAATATGCATCTTATTAAGGATATAGAGTGAGTAGTTATTTCACGTTTTCAGTCTGTAGTAGCTATACTGACATTTGAAATTTCCTTCAGCTTGTACAGCCCTATCGCTTATTTTCTGGCATGAAATACAGTGTTACTTTTGCGTCCAACAGCATCTGTCACTGCTACACAATAGGCACGTCTCATTTTTCCTCATGTTTCAGTTTTCGTTCGCAATTTAAGTCACAATTACACTGTTGAAGAACATGCTTGTTTTCTTATTACATACCATGCTTAAACTTTCTGTCGTCTGTGTTGCCGACACGTGCTAATAAAGTAAATATGCGATGAGATTTTTGAAGCGGCAAGGGAGTTCCACTCACTATTTTAAAACGGCGTCTTTCGTTCAAAATTAATGTTTCACCTCGAGCGTATAAAAAGCAGTTCATCTTTTATTCAAAAATCTGACTTTCAGCAGGAAAAAAAGCACTGGCTGCTTGAAAGTTTGGAGAAAGTGAAATCTCTTCCTCATTCCACCCTCCCTACCTCCCAAAAAAAGGATTACGTAAACTTATTTTTAATGCGATGTCCGTAGGACGGAGGACTATTGGGGTTAGAACGTTTAGAAGTTTGGGACAGGATATTCAAGTAAGCGAAATGCTAGTTCCTGATCGGAAACGTGGCCCTCGAAAGTCAATATTTTTGTCTGTTTTCGTGTTGTAAACTTTTGCGTTCTCAACAGATGGACAACAACGAGGACGCTTACATCCAAGTGACTATTTTTCATGAACATGATTTATGTCGTTCACCTATTTATTATGCAGCGTTTTAGTTCTTAGCCTTATTGCTGCCGTTTATTTAGTAAGGGACCGTTCATTTTTTATAAGGTAGGGGGGGCTGGTGGGATTTGGGGGGGGCATGCGAAAAAAAATGGCTTTCGAGGGGGGGCCATCCCAAAAAAATAAGGGAAAAAGGGGGGGTCACGTGAAATATTTTAGTAAAACTTTAAAATGGCATAATGTTTGAATATCAAAAAAATTGCT